TCGGCGGGGCCGTCTCCACCAGGGCACGGGCTGCCCCGAGGGGAGCCGTCGGCGTCCCGGTGTGGTGAGGCGCGTCCCGGGGGCTACGAGTCGGGCCGTCGCTCCCTCCCGGAAAGCCGAGCGGTTTTTTCGGCCCGGGTGCGCTGTGAGGCGGATACCCCCTCTGCAGCGTCTCTAATCTCTTGTAATCCGCGGATCCTTCCCCCAGCGTTGTGTTGTGCTGCTCAAGCTTCCATTCATTCAAGGCTTGTAAAGGACGGTCGTCCCGTGGGGAGACCCGGTGACTGGGTTTGGTAGTAAAACTTGGCGATTGTCTGCCTGTGCCTTTGAAAAAGGAAGGAGGAGAGGAACGGAGATGGCATGACCGAAATACAAGTGTAGTCTTGAAAAAGCGGGTATGCGAGATGGCCTCTTGCTTTCCTTGTAGGTGGTGCTTTAAACATGTTTGCTTTGTATCGTTGGAGTTCACTTTCACTCTTTCTGAGCAATGCTCTTTAGAGTAGAATGAAGGTTAGTTTCATGTCTTTTTATTCTTGGGATGTACATGAGTTTTTTTCAGTATGTGTGTGTGGTCTCTTAGCTCTGAAATCTTTATCAGAGACACTTTGCAAAACTATCCAAACTGGGCCTTCTTGGTAACTGTCACACTGTAGTTGAAGTTCTGTTTAAACTTCCTGGCTGATGGAAGTGGTTGCTGAAACAGGTGAATTGCTTACACCCACATCAGAAGTTATCCACCAGAGTTAACGCTTGTACAGTCAGTTAAAATACAGATTTTTCAGTTTGGTACTCAGTGTTGATTTTTAGCCATTAATGTGATAATTCCATAAAAATATTTCTAGATCCTTTTCTGTAACTGGGTTCCTTAGTCAACTTTGCCAAATGTTGGGGGGATGTTAGAGGGAGAGAAATCGCCATCTGACACATAACATACAATGTCTTGTTTTTGTTGTTGTTTACAAGCAGTGTAAAATCACACCACTAGAATGTGAGGTGGCTCGCTGATGATTTTGTCCTAAAGTCTTTACTGTTTATTAATATGAAGTTGTCCTGAGTAGGTTTAGGGAACTTTGGCTTTAACCTTCCCTCCACCCCCCACCCCGTTCTCATAGAGTAGGTGTTCTGGTTATGGGGTAGATAGAAATATACGTGGCCTAAAACTCCAGAGCCTCTCTCTTTAGAGGAGACTTGCCTTCAGTCATGTATATACACTGCCTGTGGAAGCATAGGCATTTCTATCCGGTTTTGTGTGGAAAAGTTTCTTGCTTCTGGAACTACCGTTTTCTGCTTGAAGCTGTACCCCTCAGGATTCTTTATTGCTATAGACAGACTGTGAAGGGGACATCAATATAAGGAATATTTCTTCTTAATATGCTGGGACATTCACTCCAGGTTCTAATTTCATGGGTGAAAGCTGAGTTATAGCAGTGAACAAATGTCTAAAGGGTTATTTCTTTAATGAGTTGTTTGATGCTTGTGCTTCTTTGAATGTTTTCTCCTGCTACTGTAGGGACTATACTTTCTTCCTGTAACACTTATTATCAGAAGGAGGGTCGAAAATCCAAGAAAGAATTGATGGTTGGCTAAGGAAGGGCAAGGTACAAAGAGTGACTAAAAGTGATCAACAACAAAGTCCCCACAGAAGAGGGAAGGTGGATGTTTCTTGTTTAGGTTTGAAAAGCTTTATTAGCGATGAATTGTGAGGATAGAGCTTGTTCTTATATGTTCAGCAAGATTCATCATTAACATAGAAAGCACTAAAAGACAGTATAAACTAGGCAGTATGTCTTAGGAAAAGCTAATTCTGAGCTTTTCTGTTTCTTGCGAGTGATAGGAATTGCGTAATGCGTGTTTGTGTAGAGGAAGTCAGAGTACAGAAATTTTGGATGAAAGATGGTCAGTGTTACAATGTATGTGGAGAAAACTTGTTTAGCATTGTAACATTAGTCTTATTCTATATGTTCCTCTTCAAACATTTTTCCTTTTGGCCTCTTCTCTAAACTTTGAACTACTCTTGTAACTTTTCCTAATCAATTATACTTGTGCAAAGTTCACAGAAATATCAGATGACTTCACACATTATAACATGCATGTGGAGGTAGCTAAGGAAGAGAAAAATCTTTCGCTGTCATTTTGTTGAGGTTGTATTTTCAATGACTTTTGCCTCCACAGGGTTGCTGTCCAGAAGCAATGCCCATAACTGAGCATTTTTGAAATCTTTTCTTAGAGCTTTATTACAGAGGTAGAGATGTAAATCAATCCCACCAGGGACTTCAATCACGTTTTTGTTCACTTAAGTAAAAGTGTGGTGGTGGTGGCAGAGGTTGGAAATAGTGGTAGGTTTAAGGTTAGGTTAGACTAAGCTTTTTTTGTATTCAGTTTTTAACCGCTTTCACTCTTTTGTAAATTGTATGTTGTATTGGACCTTGCGCAAGGTGATGAATCGGCCTAACAAAACAGGGTTTAATATGGCCCTTCTTTAGAACATAGAAGTGATCGTACTTTAGATGTGAACCATGATTTTTATGTCCTGAAGCCTGAAAGACCTCTTCAAAACAGCCCAGGAAAGACTGGGCTTCAAAAATCTGCTCCAGTACCTGTCGTGTCAAGAAGTTCTAGCAGCTAATGTATCCTTTCTTCTTTTGAAAGTGTCTTCAGTGAAAATATTGTGGCTTCTGGACTGTCACTGATACACAGTTTTCAAAATGAAACTTTACAGTTGAGTGTCTTATACATCTCATGAACTGTTAAAAGAGATCTTTCTGGCAGTGACGCAAACTGCATAGATGAAGAAAATATTATGTGTAATGTGACAAGTTGAGAATCTGCCCAGCTGGAAAGACAGAGCACCACAAAAATACAACTGAATTGGAGGGTCAATTCCAGTAGAGCCATTTGGATTGATTTGGACAAATGTATGGGAGGTGTCCTGTTATAATGGCCTGAGTGCTTCCAGATCAGTTGGCAGTCTCTGACTTCCAGGGTATGAGCTTCTCTTTCAGAATTTTCTGTAGAAAAACAAAGCAAGAGTTTTTTGTATCTGAAGAGAAGTAAATGTTCCATGATTGCTTATAGAGGACCTAGTCAAGCTGTTGGTGGAACAAAAGCAAGGACATCTGCCTTTCAGAAGAGTGTTCTTAGCTCTCGAGTCTAGGTCTTTATAAAAATGCCTAACTTTACTACTTCTCCAGAAAGTTGCAGAACAGAAGCATTAAAAGCACTGTAGGTAATATTCTGAATTGATCTCTCAGGATTGTGATTGTCGCCTTCTGTCCCATCTTTTGGAAATGGTTGATTTCTGTGTTCAGAAATTAAGCAGACATATTTCCTCCAGTTTCAGCATAATATAGGAGGCCATGCTGTTGTCTTTTTTCCTTTTTTTTTTTTTTTTTTTTTTTTAAAGAATCAGTCTCCCCAGAGGTTGAAACAAACAAGCCTTTTATTTCTCTGGGACTAGTATAAAAGGCACTAGCATCTTTCTGAAGGAAACTAATTTTGCTGTATGTGTTTCCTTTAGAAAGCGATCAAGAACTGATGAGATCAAGCTTTTTGGTTTCAAAAGGGAATTAACAGTGAATGCAGACCATAAAAAACGATGAATATGCAGTTTTCAGTGATTTGGGAGATTTGCTGATTGAAACAAGCTCATATGAATCACTGGTTGTTGGTTTTTTGGTTTTTTTTTTTTTTTAAACAGTCCATAAAAACTGAACTGTAGTCTGCTTTGTTTGGACACTAAGGAATCTGGAAACTGTTGTGAAAGTTAAAAGATTCCCCCCCTCTCTGTATTACTGTGTATTTTTCTCCCATCAGTTCATTGCTGATCAGCATTGGTTGTGTCTTGTGTGACAGTGTTCCAGTATGAATTTTAGCTGTGTAACTATTTTGACCAAAACTTCCACGGTCAACTGCCTTTATACAGAGGAATAGAAAACAGCATAGAGTGGCTGCTTTGTGCTTTGCAAGAAAATTGTTTGTTGTTTATAATAATGACCGCTTGTTGTCATAGTATTTTCCCAATAGCATGAGTCCTGCTTATTTGAGCTTTGTGTATTGTAACTGCTGAGTAGTAATACGATGTTCAATGGCATGTTTTAATATTATGTTTGGCTTAGTTTTGGTAATGTGTTGCTACATGCAAAGGAATATCTCAGGCTGTTTCACTTGATAAAAATACTATTTTCTCAATTTCTCCTGATCAGGTGTATGCATTTCATTCTTTCTGTGATTTTTTTTTTTCTTCATGTCATAAGACAGCATAAAATTCTCCCTTTCCCCATATCTCTTCAAGTGACTACGTTCTAATTTACGTATATATTTTTTGAGTGGAGACAAAATGAATGCTGTTTGATACAAATGACTTGTACCAGGGGAGAAGGAAAATGGACTCATTCAGTGACAACTGTCTTCTACCTTCTCAGAGGCAGATACTCTTGGCCCTGCCCTTTATGGTATTCCACATCAGTGATGAGCAAGCATGCCACTAGCCTTACGTTTAAAGCAAGTCAAGCAACCGAAATAATGAAGCAGCCTTGTCCCCAGCTTCAACACCGAGCTTGTTCTTAAGTCTTCCTCCTTTCCAGCTCCCTCCTTGACCGTCTGCCAGTATCGAGCAAGCATCAGCTTGTGCTATGGTGCAGATTAGCCAGTGCTGGCTGCCACGTGGGCTAGCTAAAGGTCTGAGGTCTACCTACCTTTCTGTCAGTTGGGACACTGAGTTAGAACCATCTCCTTTGTGTAGCTACTTTTGCCATAGAAAGTGTAGGAAACTGTCTCAAAGCTCTTTTCCTCTGTAAGACTTGCATTAAATGAGCTTACCTCTTGGTTTCAGTGTTATTGCGGAGAGAGCAACAAGCCAACAGATGTTACCTGCTCGAGCAGGAAATAGATATTCACATGAGGGAGGGGAGGGAAGGCTGAAAAGAGGATAGTAAAGGATCATCAGGTAAGGTCACTTACTGAGTACACACTCACAACAGTAAGTCAGAAGTGGTTTGCAAGGGACATGCTTGAATTCTTGCCCCATCATGCTTTAAAAAAGAAAAAACCATGAAAGATCCATCTTCTCCTGCCCTGTAGTAATTCCTTGTTCAAAGATCTGTTCGAGGATTTCTGTAGGTGTAACTTGTGAAGAATGTCTTAATGATTATAGCTCAGGAGGTATCCTGCAGGATGCTGCTACTTTGCCTGCAGCTGTTCCTGGAGGAAGGACCTGCTTGTAGGAGCAGTGACTAGAAGCCAAGTTCCTCGTGCACAATCCAATAAGCAACAGTCAGGGGCGGGAAAAAGAGAGAGCAGACCGCTTTCCTTGGTAGAAGCCCTGCCCAGATGTTCCAAGATGTGCGGATAGAGCAGTCTTCTTGCTGTGTTCTCCCTTCCCTTTACCCCCCCCACCTTTGTAGGAGGAACTCTCCTGCATTACTGTTTGCACTGAACAGGAGGTGGTTGGGGGTAGGTCTGTGATTGCAATGTGGTGACACTGGTTGCCTACCTGGGGAGGAAGAGGTTAACCTTCAGGGGAACTTGGGAAGGGAGCAGGTCCCAAAGTCCAGATTTCTTGGCCCCATGGCTGCTCAGGTTAGACTGTTCTGCAGAACTAAGTCGAAGGTGGTGTGAGAAACCAGAATCTTTAGCAATGATTCTTGCTGTCATGTTGGTAGTGTGTAATCATGTTTAAAAATACTGCAGGCTGATCAAAAATTGTCACACTGTTGTAAGCTGTTGCAAATGGCATTATATGTTACTTTCAAGAGCAAATTAACTTTAAATATTTTAAGATAAGTTCTTTTTCTAAACAAAAGCCCTATCATTGCGTTTGTACAACTTAAAGACTAAAAATATAAAACTTCATTTATTTCCTTTCATATAAAGTTTAATATCTAATTTCACAGTAAGTATCAGCATTCTTAGTATTGACTTTTGTCATGTTTGCTACCTATAGGAGGTTAAATGTAGTCTGTATGTATTATGCTAGCTTTCTTTAAATAATTAGATTGCTCTGTTATGATATATGTATTCTCCCTTTATTATATATATATGGATCTGAAAGAATTTCAGATGGTTCTTACAGGGCTGTAGTTATTTTAGTACCCTTGCTGTACAGCTGTTGTGTCCGTTGTTGAAATAATTCTTTGACATCGTATTTTTGGTATTGTGAAGAACCAACCTTAGCATTGGTTGGTGTACTCTAATCAACGTATAGGCAAAACAGCTCAGGTGTTTGTTATCCGCTTGAGTTAAGCTGTAGATTCCTTGTTGGGACTTGCCTCAACTGCATGATGACTGTTGCAGCTGTATGTCTCCTCTGTGTTAAGATTTACTATGTATCTTTAATGCACAAGTTCATCGTCGGGTTTGGAGCAAAATATGAGGGCAAAATTAGTTATTTGCTTCACCTTAACTTTTTGCTTTTTTTTATAAAAAGCAGTCTTATAATAAAAAATAAAATTGCTCTAAACACATTTCTTTACAGTGTTAGTGTAGATTGTCTCAGCTGAAGAGGGTAACAGTGATATATGGAGTGTCCAAAGGAGTACAGGGATGCAAAATATCCTTGAGAAATAGACCGTGAGAGAATCTCCTACCCTTGAAGTCATCTCCTTAGCTCTCCACAACTCAACGGCTCTGTGGCTTATCTGCCTGCTTGGTGGCATGGTATTGTAAGAATTGCCTGCTTTGTTTGGGGTCTCCAAATGCTGTTTCTGTTTTTCTCTTTATAAAGTTAGTCAACCTCTTTATACGGTAAGTTAGAGGAACTGGGAATCTGTATGTTAAGCAAGATTTCTTACAACCCTATATTGGTCCTGTTCTGGATTCTATCAAACACTTCAGAAAGCAGCCTTTGTGGATGGTGAAGTGTGTGTTGCTTGTAGCAAGGAAGCATGATCAAGTAGACTGACATAGATATGAAAGGTGAACTTGCTCAGCGTTATTGAAGTGTTAAGGAATCTCTCATATATGTCATGAAACCTGTTTTCTGTTGGTCTGATGTTCTGTGAGGTGGGAAGTAGTTTGTAAGGTGTCTCAGGAAGCTTGATAATCATCTGTTATGGAATGGCAAATTATGGTATTTTTTTTCTAAGATGATGATTACAAGTCTAACCAGGATGAAACAGTGAATAAGTTGATTAGAAAACATCGTTTATGAAAATATTGTTTTCAAACTAGCTTTTGTAAAGCATTTATCTTACTTGAAAAAATGCTGTGCAAGAGTAAATAACCATTAATGTTTTACTTTCCCTAGTATCTCAGGAGCCCTTGTTTCTGTGAAAACAGTAGAGAAGTTGGCCAGTTTGGTTTTATGTCTGCTAAAAGCCATTTTTCCCCTCCTTTTTGCAGGTGAGATTAGTTTGGGGATGTGAATACAATGAGTGTAAACCAGCAAGCTCACACAGGGCCTCCTTATGGACAACCTCAGCCTGGATATCCGGGATACCAGCAGCCTGCCTACGGAGGACAGCCATTGCCAGGGGTTCCTCAGTCGCAATATGGAGCTTATAATGGTCCGATGCCAGGATATCAACAGCCAGCCCCTCCACAAGGTACTTCTCAGTCAAAACTTAATGACTGATAACCTGTGAATTGTTGTGTACATGGAATTTTTTCTGTATACTTCCTATTGTTAGTCTTCTTTTTGTGGTAGCAATTATCTTTTCTTCTGTATGTAGCTTACATGATGTTAAAAATCATGTTCTTCCTGTACATTGAGGTTATTATTCTGTCACTTGTCCATTTCAGTAGGGCTTACTCTTCTTTTAATAGCTCATAAAATTAACATGTTGAGAAGCACAGCCTGCTTTTTTTTCCTCTATGTCCCTGCCCCCATGGTACTGAAGCACCTGACTAGAACAGTCTTCCTGATGAGGTTATGTTGAGGGGCAGCAGTTAGGGACTGTAACAGATTTATCACTGAGACTACCTTACATTATTATTTAGAAAGTTCTGCACTCCTTCCTGAAAGATTAAGACATACAACTCTAGGCAGAAAGCCTATTTGGAGCTATTTTCTCTAATGCTTTTAAAATCAGTAGAAAGTTTGTGGACATGATGTGGGCAAGCTGATGTGTTCCAGAATTTCCCTGGTTCTGCAGGATCGTATCACTTGTTGGTTTTGTTTGTCTAAAAAATAACAAAAAGGTAGTTCAACTTTTTTTTTTTTCCTGTTTTCAAAAGAAAGGCTAACTTAAAATTATTAAAGAACTTCAGGAGTCTTTGTTTTTGAGTGCCTGAATTGCTTTAGGAGATTAATAGTGACTTTAACATCTGAGATGTAGAGGAGAAAATAGCATTGAGCAGAAGTATTTCTGCCTTTAAAATCATGTGGATGAATTCAGTTCTGCTGAGATAAGCACAACACAAACTTTCACTCTGAAATATTTGTTTAGATTTCAGATAGGTATTCTAAGGAAATGAGGAATATGCTGATCATGCTAATGGTCTCTGTATTATTCTCCCCTCCAAACAAATCTTGAATTTTTTGCAACTTCTTGAATTTTAAATCAACCTCAACGAGAAGGATAGAACAATCAAAGTGCCTATAGTTGTCTTGAAACTAACAGAAGTGGGAGACTGAAATCTGGGAGCTGAATGATTACCCTGTTGGGTTTTTTGTCTGGAGTTAGCAGGGTAGTGGAGTAGAAGAAGAGTTAGTGTGGTGTGCTAAAGAATGGGTTATTCAGTTGCTTCATCTTCCTTTTCTTTCCTTAATCCTCTTCCTCCCCTCGTCTCAATAAATCTCTTCCAACAGCACTTTTAATCTGTGAGTTTTGAACTAATTTCACAGAGGGTTTAAATTCCTGTAAAAGTAATGAAAATCAGCACTGGGCAGAGGAAAGAAATCCTGTGTCCTGGGAAGACAGAGCTCAGCCATTGAGCACTCTGTTTGGCTGCTCAGTGTAGCCATTGACGACCTCGTGTTTCCTGGCCCATGGAAGGAATGGGGAAAAATTGGACTTCCTTCAGTGAAGGAGAGAAGGAGTTTCAAGAAGGACAAAGATTATTACAGATTTGTTGGAGAAGTTTCATCAGTGCAGCTATTTATAGAAAACAGGTTTTGGCTGTTAGCAGTGTGAAGAATGTTTAGGATGTTTGTGAAGAGAAATTGATAAGCATCTTCCATCAGATACTTCAAGAATTATTTACAGGTCTGAAAAGCATTTCTTTTTAAGGGAATTAATGTTTTTCCTTCTGAATTATTTCTGGTTTGCCTTTTTTAATTTCAGAACAACAGAAGTGTGGTTCATGACAGCTCAGTAAGGACATAACCTAGAAAGCTTGATAACATGAACTTGTGTAGATTAAAAATGCAGATTTTGTTTGTGCCAGTAATGATTGAAAGGTAGTGTGACACTGAGGGCAACAAGGTGGTCTCATTTGGACAACAAAAGTGTATTGCACTACTCCTAAGCAGTATCTCATGTACTTTATTGATATATCAGGCAAAGGCCACCCATGGTTTGTGGAGATTTCTCTTCCATCTTTTCTTCTGAGACCATCCTTCCTAGACTTAGCAGACTGTATTAAGGAAATCTCAGTTGTCAAGTTGTGCATTTTGGACCTGTTACTATAAATCCAGGATTCCTATCTTTAGAAGGCAGGAATGTAAAATTCAGAGCACTAGCACAACAGCCAGAAGCTGACCTGTTAGTAGCTGCTGAATATGACATCCAGGTGGAAAAGAGTGGCAAACAAACAACGCATTCTCAAAGAGAGTAGACAGGTGATAGTGAAGATAGTCGCAGTTATCCTGTTTACCCCTATCTCCAACACATTATGTTTATTGCAGGTCTTTGTAGCAAGACCTCTTGTAGCTGCATAACATAGAGGAGAGAGAATTAATTTCAGAGGCACTGGAGTGGCAGGAATTTAGTGAACGCTGAGGAGTAAAAGGAAAACTGCCAATGTTATTCTGTGATCTCAAAGTAGTTGTCTTAGGGATTTATTTTAAAAATAACAATAAAATTGCTTGGAGGACTGAGTGGAGAAGTGTTGGGAGTAGATGCCATCCTCAGTCAGGGAGTCTTTCGCATCTGATTTACATGACAAAGCCTAGCTCTAACAAATGGAAACATGGGAATGCTGTGCCAGTGATGCTAGTCTTGCTTGGGACCAGAAGTGGAGTACTGTGCTGCTAGCTGAAAATAGCTGCTTCTTGCTATGAGAATGTTGAAAGAACCAGAACAATTTTGCACTGATTTTTCAGTCAGTCTATTGGTTCCCTTCTGATTGAGATCATGCAGTTTGAAGTGCAGACACAATTATCTGAATACCAGTAGCAATTAACCTGCTGCTGGATTATTTTACATAGACTCAGTTTATGATACTATTAGCACTTGTATTGACATTAATGTACGAACTATGTTGGTAGTATATGTTGTGCATGGTAGAACAGTGAGAGGGTGTATAGCTTAAGGAATAATGTGGCAAATGTGACATGGATTTTTATATATATGATATTTTCTGCACTGCAGGCTGTCCTCAGCATTGGAAACACTGTCTTTTGGTGCTTTCTCTCAGGCTTGATTTGCTGGTGTATTCTGTCTTTCCAGGTTATTTTCCTTCCTTGGGGTTCCCTTCGAAGGGCTCTCCTGTATCTCTCAACTCTGACACTTCTTCTCTTGCACCTAATTTCATAGGTAAATGGTGTCCTTTCTGTGGGAGTGTTTGTGCTGTGCCGAGTTCCCATTTAATATGGATATTTATCTCAAAGGTGTGGGTACCTGATTATTCAGGCAGAGGTGGGTGGGACACTTCCCAATCTATTTGTAGGCAACACTCCAGAAACATAAATAGGACATGAAGAAATAATCCTAGCAGAAATTCCTTATGCCTGCAGATTCATAGATAAAACCTGACTTATGACTAATGTTTTCTGAAGACTGATTTCAAAACCTGAATTGGCCCATTCAGGTTCTGTCAGGGAGAATCCTTAGTTTGAAAGAATGCAGTCTCCCAGTTGAGAGAGAACTAAAACGTGAGGTTTGAAATGATAGCATTGCCATGAAGAAATGAAAAATCTCCCCAAGCACCAGGAGATTGTTATTGGAAGTCTTGAGATATTTGTAACTTGTGCTTTTGTTTAAGGGGAAAAAAGAAGTTTTTAGCTTCCTTGGCTATAACATAGAAACCAAATATATGTTAGGAATAATTATGATTCCAAAAGCTGTGGCTTGAAGAAGGAAATACTTTTGCAAAGCTAGCAATCAAGATGTAAGAATTAGAAACATTGCAAGAAATCATACTGTATTTTTCCTTCTTTCCCGCTAGTGGTATTTTGGAAGAGCTATTTCCAGTGGTGCCAATTTGTTTAGAAGAGTAGGGAGTTAGAACTGGGCCAAGACTGTATAGTCTCAGGGCTTTGAGTAAAATCACAGGCATTTCCCATTTTGCTGTAATCTACCTCCGATTTGAGGTCTGTGATGAGTAAGAACAATATCTCAAAGGTGTTGAAGGGGAACTTCAGGATTCCTCAAGAGTAATGAATCTTAAAATAATAAACCACTAGATATTCATGCCTGTTCAAGTGAATTTTTTTCAGTGACTATTTGAGCAGCCTGTGGTAATGGTTACGGAGGTATATTTCTGACAAGAGCTAGAAAAAGAAGACTTCAGAAGCTTTTTCTGAAGTAAGCATGTATTCGTCAAATTGTATGCCTGTTAAAGTTGAGGGGGAAAAAAGTTAATGTAAAAAAAAAGTGTAGGATCCCTCCAGGAACTGGATTAAATATACTGTTAAAGACAAAAGGTAACAATGCCAAACAGTTTACATGTACTATCAAATGAAAGAGATTCCAAAATAGATGAAAGTATATCAAATTAACTGAAAAGGTATCACAAATGATATTCAGAAATAGAAATACCACACAACATACAAATTATTAGAGATCGGGAGTAATAAAAAAAAAAAGCCCCAAGAAATTACTGATTATTCATACAAGGTCTAGTTAATTTCTTCCTTGAACTTACATCCACAATCTTACTAAGAATAAGATAAGAATATGAGTTGAAACCTCATGCTTTGGTGTATAAATTATACTGTAGAATTGAGAAATGGGTTCTCTTGTTTCCGATTTCATAACAGTTCCTCACAGGAAGGTTTCAGAGTCCCTTTTAAACTTGTCATGCCAGTCATTGTCAGAGAGACACAACAGTGTGTATGTGCTGCCCTAGACTCATGGGGCAGTTTACTCTATTTCGTCATCTGGATTTAATGATACGCCATACATTGAAATGCGTTCCCTTGTGGTTAGCAGGCATGGTCATATGGTTGTTCTAATAATCAGCATTTTTAACATAATATTATTAAAATAGGCATTTATATTCTCTTTTTTGGAAGTAGACACGACAGTTGGTCTGCTAGTATTGTATCCAGCATTGTGCGGTCTGTGGAAAGTGTGAATACTTGTTTCTGAGGCAAATGTGTTTGGGCTGTGACTGAACCAGCTCAATCTGAAAGATAAGAAAGTATTTGTGTTAGCCTCCAACCTTGAGAGGTTGGGAAGAACAATCTGTGGTGGCCCCCATTATGTTATATGTAAAAACAGTCAGATGTAATTTTTGAAAGCTGAATCTACTCACATAACTTGCTTACCTTTCAAGTAGGGAAAACTGACCTGTAGTGAACATTAGGTTCCTTGTGAATACTCTCTTTGGTCGGGATAAAAATAATTGGACTTGGAGGGGGAAGAATTTGATACCTTACTGACAAGAAAACATTTTTTTCTTCATCAAAAGATGAAATTATCTTTTGAAGACCCTCCACAGTACATATTTTCTACTTGGTATGTGTGGAGATGGTGACTAGTGGCACTGGGTAAAAGTATTTGTGCTTTCAGTTTTGCTACTTCTAATATAGTTGTATAAATTATTTGTTGCTCATGGAGTATTGATACATCAATTTGGCCACCGCTAAACTGTTTCTGCACTTTTTTTTATTTCCTGGATTTTTCATGGTAGTTGGTTCAAGCCCTTGTTTCTGTGAGTAATCTGTAGGTTTTTTTCTCTTATGTCTGTAGGTTCGTTAAGAGCCCCTCCAACACCTGGAGCTCCCCCTCCAGCCTCTGGAGCATCTCTTCCTTCTGGCCACGTGGCATACAGTCAGTTTGGACATGGAGATGTGCAGAATGGGATTCCAGCTTCAGCAGCCCCGATGCAGAGGTACATACAAGAAGAGCAAATCATAACGAAGGCCTGCCTTGGTAGACCTGTGTTAGGTCTAGACCTTTCAGGATCTAAAACAAACTAAATACTTTGTTTTTCCTGTGATGGACATTGACTTTCTTTATTGCTTCCTTATTGTTTTGGAACAACATTTTGCCATAGGGGTATTTGTTAGACAATAAGAATCTCTGGAGATGAAAAACTTCTGGAAGGAAGTGAGCAGATGTCAGTGACTGATCAAAACCACTTCTCCTCTAAAGACTTTCTTTGTGGTAGTCATTTTCCCATAAGGAGTTTTGATTCCCATAATCTGTCTTGTTTGAAAACCGTTGCATCCACATAGCCGTAGTATTTGATTCCTTGGCAGTGTGAATTGATCTCTGTCTGAAGCATGTTGCTGTTTGTCATTACTGAGTAATTCCTTAATATTGGTTCTGAGTCCTTTTCTGTCCATTATGGATCCCTGAGTTATCTTCATCTAAAGCTCTTGGACATCTTCTCCAGAAAGATATTGCCATTACCTCTGTGGTGAAAGTGGCAGAAGTCCTCACTGCTTCATGCTGATTACTGGTTATGGGGGAAGGTGGTTGGTTTTTGTTTCCTTCTGGTTAAGCTCAGCACTGTCAGCTAGAGAGTCCAAATCCTTCGAGGAACAGAGCATTCTCACATAGCTGTGCAGGCTTTACTGTTGCTCACCCTGTAGACTCTGTTGCAGTATTTCTGATTTGTTGTGATAACTAAAATGGAATTAACGAAAAAAAATGCTGTAAATGTAGAATTTGTATTTTAAGAACTAATAGATTTTTTTGATGAAAGGGATTCAGATCCATGCAGGATATGTAATTATTTTTCTCAAACTGAGCTACAGTGCTTCATGTAAATAATTGAGACCCAGCTAGTGTTTATGTGGCAGAACACTTTTAAAAGGCACAGAGAATTGTGATTTCTTGTATAATGGGGAATCCAGTGAAGTTTCTTGTCTTCCTTCTCAGGCCACCTGCTTCTCAGCCGTTTCTGCCAGGCTCAGCACTCACGCCTGTCAGCCAGACATCTACGTTCCAGCAATATGGTCCCCCCCCAGCCAGTGTACAGCAGCTCAGCAATCACATGACAGGGATGACAATTGGCAGTACTACAGCCTCTGGTCCTCCCCCAGCTGGACTGGGCTATGGTGAGGTTTCCTGGCTACAGAAATAATGCTATTGCTTTTTATTTATGCTAGCAATTCCATAAACGATTTGCTCTTGTCAATGATTCATTACCATATGGTGATGGGAATTCTCTGGGTGTTGACATCTGCCATAGTAAATGGTAGTTTCCTTAACTAATAAGGTCATAATTGGGGAAAACAGAACTGAGACTATTGTAGGGGGCAGTGCAGGAAGTACTGCAGGACATGAATAACAATATTTCTCCTCAACTAGGTGAATCTTGGTGTGAAAAACAAAAACAGTCTATCCCTAAGTAAGCTGTTGGAGAGTCTACATGCCTTGCCACTGTTGTGCAGCAGCCCACTCAAAAGAAAAAAAAAGAAGGAAAAAGGGCTCAGTAAATCACAAAGGGCTGAAATTACTCTGAATGATTCTGTGAAGGGTTTTGCTGGAAGTGAGAAGAAACTTACTTAAACAGTATAACCTCAATTTAGATATTTTGTTCTATTGCATTAGATCTATAGTCCCACTGCTGTAGATTACAGGACTTTTTTTTTTTTCTTTTTTTTTAATTGAAGACTAGAGATTTGTCTAATGTATGTGTAAGCTTGTCTCACTACACTTTGATTTTACTTTTTTTTATTGTTTTGGTAAAGTACTTTTTGACAATTATCTCTCATACTCTTAACACAGACTTTATAGGAAAATTAGGAGTAGGGGATGCAGATTTCTCCAGCCTTTTGGCAATGTGTTTGTCTAAAATTATCTTCAGAAATAGTACAGTGGTAAATACAGAACATGCTAGTTCCATACTATTAAAACCATGAAGCTCAAAATTTGAACTACAGGCTCCAACTTAGTGTGGAGTTTAAGACACAAAGTTATTTCAGTTCAAGAAATTGGTAGACAGACTTGTGGTGGTACTTGTTTTGTGTACTCCTGGCTTTGCCCCTTTTTTCTGGTCCTGAATCCTGAAATGTATTCTGATTACGTAAAATAAGAAGCTTAGACTTTGAGACAGAGGACAGTGAAGGAACTATCAAGTTTTAGATCCCTTGGAGGAGTTTCAGCTCTCTGATCAATTTAGGAGAGTGTTCACTTAAGGTTTGTGTCTATTAGTACTGGCAAGTCCATCTGAAGATGAGAAGGTGGTAGACCTGTTTAGATGATCTAGAGCAAATGGGTTTTGCTTGCATCTTAATTGTCTTGAGGATAGAAGAAAATGATGTTATATCTCTTCTTCTTATCAGGTCCCCCAACATCGGTTCCCCCAGTCTCAGGAAGCTTTAGTGCAACAGGATCTGGTCTCTACACACCTTACACTGCGAGCCAAGGACCCCCTCCTACCAGTATGTCTCAGGGTCTTCCTTTGGCACAGCCTCCGTTTCCTGGTCAACCAATATCAACTCAGCGCCTACCTACTCAAGTCCCTGGTTTTGCCCCACCTCCCTCTTCTACAGGGATTGGACCTTCCTCTTACCCTCCTACCACAGGTGCCCCAAGGCCACCTACCATGCCAGGCCCACCACTGCCTGGGCAGGCAGTTGCTGGACCACCAACGTCCCAGCCTAATCACGTATCCTCACCACCACCTCCATCAACTATGGCAGGGCCGCACCCTGGGCCTCCCATGAGTGGCCTCCATGGACCACCTCCTCCCACTCATCCTCCTCAGCCAGGATACCAAATGCAGCAGAACGGTGAGTATTCCTAGTATAGGAATTGTAAGTTACGTGTGTTCTCTGTGTGCTGCAAACTGAGAACTGGGTTTCAGGTTCGTTACTTGCGGGCTCCTGGCTGCGCTTCAAAGCTTCCCTCTTGTTTCCCTGTGCTCATGTCTGAAGAACAAATCCAAGATAAACAATAGGGTGTGTCATTCTAAGATCTTTGTCATACAGGTTTTAATCAGATTAATGTAACTAAAGGAATCCTAGCTTACTTGGCCAAAAAATTGTCTAATAATTAGCGCCATAATACTAAAAGAATTTGTGATCAAAATTTTGTTAGGAACTTTAATTTGATATCTGCAACCTCATCTGTTCAAAAGTAGAGATTTGAAATCCTGAAAAGCCTTACTATCTGGTTTTTTTTAAACTTGTGGCCAGTGTGTGTATACAATGTGTATGAGAGGAGTTGTTAAATGTTGAGAAGGAGTTCTACTTTTTCTTCTTTAATTCACAAAACTGTGTATTTTTCTCCTTGTAGAACCTTTCACGTTTTGTGTGTGCTTAGAAATAATATCAATTAAGCTTTCTGAATTATAAACAGTTTTGGCTGATTTTTAATCAAGAATATTTACACATAGCTAGGATAAAGTAATCATGTGCAAGTGTCAGGATTGAGAATCCTATCCCCCATGCAGCTTTGTACAACTGGCCAGGTAAATTACTTAAAAATAGCTGTCCAAATTGCTATGAACTGTAAAAAGAGTAATGGGGTAAATCATGCTGTTATTCTATAACTGACTGAAATTGTCTAAAGTAATATGAAATAACTTCAGGTAGTTACAAAACAAAAGAAATAATCACACATTAACCTATTACTGTAATTTCAGACAAGCCAAAACTGCCTGAGCGAAATCCTTGCATACCTTTAGTTTGAGGAATTATGGGTCGTCCATTAGCTTATTTGGCTGTTCTGTGTGCACTTTCTGTTAGGCAGTTCTGCAGTTTAACTTAAATGTTCATAGTGCATGATCTTAATGCATATTTTAATCATATTATTCTAAAAATAATTATGTTAGTCTAAAAACCTGTGTTTCCTTAAGTCTGGTTTTAAGGAGGACTGTATCAATCAGTTTATTGTATCATTGATAGAGATGTACAGGTCTAAGCTGAAACAGTGATAAATAATTCTAATTAACTGAAAAGCATGTGACTTTCTTTTTCTTGTTTTTTTGACGATGACAGGAAAAATGGGAAGTGCCTAATGAGGAAACACCTAGTATTAGCCATTGTTTAATTTTTGCTGTCCCTTTCTTGTAAGGTTCCTTTGGGCAGGTGAGGGGTCCCCAACCAAACTATGGAGGAGCCTATCCAGGAACACCAAATTATGGAAGTCAACCCGGACCACCACCTCCACCAAAACGTTTGGATCCAGATTCCATTCCTAGTCCTGTAAGCTTACTTTGTTCTTACCAGTGTGAACTCTTCCATAGTGTCTTTACATAAAACAGAACTGACAAAGACCAAAGCTGAAAACAGGTTTCTCATTCCAAAGAACATCAGTCTGTTTTCCTGCTTACTTTTCTCTCGTATATCCAGCTTCAGTCTTTTGTTATGAATAAGCCCAGAAGCAGTGTTTTTCTTGGTGACTAAAGAAGGGCGCTGCATATGCAAATCAATGCTCTGATTCCTCAGGTCTTTTTCTGTACTACGTTACATTTTGAGAATCCTTGAGGGCTTTGATTAAGCTTGTTTCTCCATTTCTGGATTCTTGCTTAATGACTTTCCAAGGTGAACTAATTTCAGGTTTTGAGGTGACAATCTGCAAACTGTATGATCCAAGTTTAAAGTATGGTTAATAGGAGATGATTGTAGTGCTTTTCCTTTCCCTTTTCCTATAATCTGTCAAAAAGCTGGTTAGCCTTTTTTTGGGTCATTAAGTCACGACACTACTTCAGTCAAGTATGGACAACTTCTCAAATTGGGATTATCTTTCAGAATGGAGGTTCTGAGAAAGGATGAGCAGTGATGTGTAATGGTTAGCAACGATGAGTAATATTAAGCCTGGCAGTGTTATTGCCACTGGTCTACCGTGCTGTTCCTTCCACTGCTGCTGATGCTGTTCTGTTATTGTCTCAGAAGACCACAGTCATTTGATAACAGGAAACCTTTCCAGAGCAGCGCTTACAATCAGTTTACTTCAAAACCATAAAAATAATTTAGTCTTGAGTTACATCTTAGATCTGGACTGGTGCTGTTCAGAAGCTATCACTATTCAAAAAAGATGATCTGTTTAGACTCCACGTTTATGTAAAGTTTATGACCATATTTTCTTGTAGAATATAGGAAGTCTTTAATTGCTTCTCTGCTTCTCTTCTCTTCCACTAAATGAGATCTCAAATGGCTTGTGTCAGTTGCCTTCATTTTAGCATGTTCTTAAAGCATAAATCCCCAGTTTCTAACCAAAATGAGCACATGAGCCACACCTCTGTTAGCGATGTGTTCAGAGCCCAAGCCCAATATCCTGGCAAGACTGGTTTTAGGATCGGTGTATGCTGTGGAAGCTGATGTTTCCTGTTGCATGAACCAATGTCCAAATGTATCTAATTCCAGTGCTGCAGGTTTGGGTAGAGAGAAGTAACACTTGCTTTTTGTTTTATTATTCTCTTTTCTTGTCTTCTTTTTTTTCTGTGGCACTCTTACTTTTTATTTTTTTAAAAAAAGCAACTTAATGAGCTGCCACCCCAGCAGAAACCCAGGCACAGAATAGACCCAGATGCAATTCCTAGTCCAGTAAGTGCTGTATATATGTCAATTGTAGTCTGTGTGTTGGTGACCATCTGTGCATGCCTGAAACCTGAACTTCACCTCACTAACCCTCCATCATTAATCCTTTACCCTTTTCTTGCTGTCTTCTGTTTGCCTTATCAAAATGAGTAACATTACACCACAAGAGGTTGTTAAATCTTCTGTGATGAATGGTGAGGCAATAGAAAGCAGACTGTTTCAGAAACAGATCATGAAGAATGTCTCCCCTTCACTTTGTCTGGTCTTTAGAATATCTCCTTCATCGGATTCCAACTGGCATTTTCAGTGTAAGCCATCAGTATCATTGTCTGTACAATGTGTGTCTCCTGTTAACGTACACACAGCATGAGCCTTTGTAGCCATGTTTTCTACCAGTTTTGAGCAGAATTTGATTACTGTTCTTGTTGATATACCAGTACTGGGCTAATGCTTTGAAGTTCTAAAATTGCAGGTAAAATGTCTTGTTTTGATGTTAATTCCTGATATAAATCTTCTAGTAGATTAATATGAGGCATGGGGAGCTATAAACATTCTCTCATTATCTGTGCTTATACATAACCATTAAATTTTGAATTTTAAAATTTAATGTTTATGTGTAGAGAATCTTACCTAAAGAAAGAAAAAAGCAGCTACCTTTTGGATTGGAAGAAAAAAAACACATTTGACTTTGTTACCCTCGTATCATTTCTTCCTCATTTAGCCATAGCTGGTCATATAACAGGTACCAGCAGTAAGATCACCAGTGTGAGTCAGTCTGTAGACTCTTGAAATGGGACTAGATTTATGCTAGAGTAGTTGCTGTCTGGTGCTATAGGAGGCTTTCTGCTGGCAGCTTGGAGTCCATAGTGAGAGGGTAGAAGTTCTGCCATGCAAACTTCTGTATTTCACAATTTACTCTAAGCAAAGGCATGTATGTTTTGTGGCAAAATAAGATCAGAAGAATGGTTGCTGGCTTTAATGCTTTCATTCAGGCACCCATATGGAAATGTAGTTAAAACTGTGTATAACTACAATTTTCTGTTCTTATGCAAAGGTCAGTGGATATTTTTGTCAAGTAAAACTGTTTAATGCATTTCCATTATCTTAAGCATATTTGCATTAATGAAGAATTTGGAATACTAAGAAATTTAAGATTTTTTTTACTGGCTTTGTGAAGTTTAAGCTTGATTCATTGACAAGTCTACTGAAACTTCACTTTCCACATCCCCAGAATTCAAATCATAAACTCTTGAGCACCACGGAGTAATGAAGGCTTCCACCTGAGCTTGCAAGCATTTGTCTTTAGGTCAGAGTTACAGTGGTTAGAAATAAACGCATAGTATGAAAACAGTGGGAACGTAACAGAAAGGAAAAGCCAGGTTATCTATAGAACTTCACCCTGAGGCTCACAGAAGCTTCTCATTTTAATTTGGCTAGGACCAGTATACAGGGGAATGCTACCAAAAATTCCTTTCTTGATTTGTGTTTGGCTTTTATGAGTTCGGATCAGGCCTTAAAACACAAAATACGCTACTACTCAAAATACTTGGGGAAAAACACTATTTACAACTTGTAATTTATTTTTAGTCATTAAGTACTATTCAAAATCAAACTGAGAGGTGACTGCTTGCCAAAACTTATTTGCTTTAGACTTCTTATTTTTAGAGATAGTAATGTTTGCCTCAGGTCCCTTTTTCACTGCCTTACAGATATAAATTTTGTATTTTACAGTACTTTGAAACCAAGCCTCCAAATATTAATGTGGTCTTTTCCATCATAGATTCAAGTGATTGAAGATGACAGAAGTAACCGTGGGTCAGAACCATTTGTCACTGGAGTGAGAGGGCAGGTCCCACCTCTTGTTACTACGAATTTCTTGGTCAAGGATCAAGGTAAAATATTTTTCTTTACCTAAGCAAACAAACAAAACACAAACCCCAAAGAGTCAGTGACAGAACTGTCTGTGTCTTTAAAGGAAAAGTTTGAGGAATGGTTTCAGTGGCTGGGGATGTGTGTTTTACCAACAGAAGCTTCATTTCAAGTCCTGTGTTGATTTGATCTCAATTTAGATTGTCCTGATTGTTTGATAGCTAGTAACCAATGCACAAGTAAAAAATGTTTTCCAAGCTGGGTAGCTGGGACCAGCATTAGCAGCAATATCAGAAAGCAACAAATGAAGCCTCTTCTGTACAGCTATATCAATGACAGTTAAGAACTGAAATTTACTAGCAATATAATTTGAATTGGACTGGGAACTGTATTTTTTTTTTTTAAATCATGAGTGGGATGTCAATTGGTCCATGGCCTTCATAGAGAACAGATATTTAATCTTTTAATTTCCCATGCTTTTTTGGAGATTTTAAGCTCCCTTAAAACTTCAGAATCCTATTCTACCATAAAGTGATTTACTCTTCAGCCAAAATTACAAAATCAAACAGTAGAAATGTTTGAGTCAAGTTTTCTGCCTATAGTACATTTTAGTCTGCAAAAAGAGTGAAACAGGAATG